CTGGAGAGAGCAAGTGGGAGCGCAAGAGAGTTGTATGGTGTATGGTATAGCGGAGGAAAGTGATGAGCAATCCTGTGGGTAGCGGCGTTTATTTGTTATTTATCTCCGAACGGTCGCAAAGCCATTCCTGTAGTATAAATTGTACAAAGTAGCATACAGAAAAACAAGTTTTCCACTTCACCATCTCCGAGAATTAACGTTACAATCTCAGCGACCCGAGAAGTTCGAAAGCGTCGAACTTAGCGACTTATAACCGATCCTAGCTTTGCCAATAGGCCTGACTCGTCGAGAGAAATAGCTCCGCCATCGATTTAACTAGTTCCGGTGAGGCTCACATAGCGAAACAAAATTAAGCAACTTCTTCTAGCGTCTTCTACTCCCGTGAGCCCGAACCTACACTCGGTTCTGTGGTTTGCGACTTTGCTTGCGCCGTTTCGGAGATAAATACTCCGGAGCGTCCATTAGTGTTTGTTTCAGGCGTCAAGGTTTTTTTTTATTTTTCTAGGTCTTCCTACGGACTACCCTACGGCGTCTTGCTCCTCCTTTCCCCTCTCGAACTATTAAAAATACCCCTCAGTTGTCTCGGACCGCCTTCACCCATATCACGGGGTTTAGGTTTATTTCCTTTGGTCCTTGGTGATTGTTGTGTGTCAGTGCATATCAACGCATCTAAGAAAATATAGTGTGTCCTTCATGTTCATCCTGCATAGATAGATCACTGATGACCCATCTGCCTTAGCATCCCTTCAGTCAAATATCTGCCCTTCTCATGTTTGGTCAGTTCTGCGTATGCATGTACGTTACGTTTCGTCCACTCGTCCTTGTCTTGGGGCTCATAAAGAGAGCTAGTGATGAGCCTAGGAATGCACTTCCCGGGCCCCAGTATTCACCCATGTCATCACAGGTGGATCCATATAGTATTCAGAATCCTGTGGGTGATCCAGCCCTGGGGATAACTGCCGAATCCTTGAATGTGAAGCTTTTGTCCGCCCTGCCTGGTACTTGGCCTTTCCCCAATCTGCAAAACTTGGTCTGGTTTGGTGTCTTCACAGCACCAGTACAGTTTGCAGGTTCGGCTGGGGTTCCTGCGAATCTTGGGCGTACGGGAGATATATGGGTCTGTACCCTGTTGTGAGAGGAACAAACTTACTGGAAGGACATCTGCAGGGTTTGGCAGGTTTGGGACAATGTGAAGCCTCTTACACATCATCCTCTCATTCAGCAGGCAGTTCTACTGGTGGGCAGTGGCTCCCATTCAATGAAGCCTTGATGGATGGATGCATGATCGAATGGCACCAAGGGCAAAAATTGCTTAATCAAGAATGGGGTGCTCAAAGGTAAAGACATCACACTTCATGTGTCAAAGAGCCTGCTCCCGGAAGACCATGGGGCTGAACCCTCTTCAAGCCGTGGCCACCGCAACAAAGCCCATGAGGGCCAACGGGGCACCAAATGGAGGCTTTCTCAGCTGGAAGTGGGTGATGACCCATCTGATGACCCAGTTACATCCACCGGTGTTCGGGCTTGGACAACCTTCTCCCGATGCCAGGAAATGATGACAAGTCTCCGCCACAACCAGTGTCTAGCATCAACCGGACATCGATAGTTGACGACCTAATGCCTATGCGTCAAGAGTCAAGCGGTGATTATATCCCGATTTGTGCTTGATGAGGCACACTCTGGGATGTAGTAGGACTTGTTTCCGGGCTGGAATTCATACCAGCTGGTGCAGGATGAGGTGAACAGTGTATTTTTGAGGTGCAATAATACTATTTAAGAAAATAATGGGCTGTGTGGCCTAGAATGTGGTCCACATGATGTGGTATGATTATCTACTTTAGGTAGGGCTATACACAACCACTTGAACCACTTTCCACTCCCCTGGGGCGTCCACAGGAGGGGTACCACCCAAAAGCGGTATCTAATGATGCACTGCTTGGAATCTCTTGGTGTCTTATGTAAACCTGTAGATATATATGGGGTGATTATGATCGCATAAAATCAGGATGTAGCATATAGTATACGCATGGGAAAACTCGAAATATTGCTTTGGAGCCGGTGATGAAGAAATATTTTTACAGCAATGGATAGCCACCAGGCTCTATGGATCACTGCCACATATTCCCCCTCCCTACATTGCCTGGGTCGGGTAAAATAGGAGCTATAACAAAGAAGAATAAGGATAAATGGACCACAGAGCCAGAAAGAGCATAAAATTTGGGTTCCAGCAGTGTACCACACCACATATTTCCATATTTGGAAGTGTGTTACTTAATATAGTGATGCCATTAGTGCACAGGAACTACTGGCAGTAGCTTTGAATTTTTCTGTATTTTTCCGCATTTCTTTCAATTTTCTATGAGCAGCCAAGCTGCGTTCTGCCATGGTCTATATATACACATCACCTATTTATAGCACTAATATGTGGAATCCGGGTCCCAGCAATATATTCTGATTTTATCCGAATTATTGCGCATTTTTGGAGCCACCCAGGTGCTTGGATGATCAGCCAGCCTATTATTAGCCCCCCAGGCTATTCCCGAGGCACCAGATCTAGCCCAGATCCCTGCCTGCCTGCCGGGATGCCGGGGCAGGCCATTCAAGCTCAGCCCGGCTCATGGCAGGCAGCTTGCCACCTGAAATCCCATTACATTAGGCCTGGACAATTGTCCCGAAACATTGTAAAGGAGCACACGAGTGTTGTCCAGAAACATTACATTATTATTACAACATGGGCTGCCCGAGTATGCCGGATCACCCATGCGCAAGGCACCCAAACGCCGGGTGAGTTCCTCTATCTCGTCCAAGTCCTTCCGCACCACATCACAGCCAACCTCCCGTCCCGCGTCTATTTTCACTGTCTTTGTCACCACCTCCTTTGCCACAGTCTCAGGCTCCGACACCCTTTCCTTCCAAACCGGATCCATCAATCTCCCATCCAACCGCGTAATCCTTAAGATAGGATCTTTCCAGACGGCATCACCAGCAGCATCTGAGAAGACGAAGTGGGCCATGTCCAACACCTTGTCCATCGACATCACTTCCGAGGCATCGTAATTGGTATGCTTGATTTCTAATTGCTGGGCTATCCCTCACTGGGCGTCGGCCCAGAAATACCAATCACGTTTGCTTGTTGTGATCTTCTTCGCATCGACCAGCCACTGGGCAACCGGCCGGAACTCCTGGTAATACTCCATAACCTCGGTCTCAGTATTGAGCGGGTTGGTGGCATTGGCAGCAACAATGGTTTCAAGGTCTTGTAAGGTGAATTTCTGTCCGTGTCTTCCCCCTGGGCAAGACTTCTGAATTTGCTCCTTTAGGGCTGCATAGTCACCACTCGAATACGCATCAAGAGACATCCAAAATCTCTTCGTCTTTATGTCAGTATACCGAACCAAGCACTTCTTCTTCTCAGGGTCCGTGAGACCATAAGCATCTGCCAATTCTTTGAAGACTTCAAAGAAGTCAGAAAGCTCAGTAGGCTTCCTGCTATAGTACGGTGCCTTGGTGGATCCTGCCACCGGCATTGACGCGAGGCACCCATTGTCACGGCACCAGTCATAGTGGAAGGTACGTCACCAGAAGATGAAGAATGTCTCGATGCCACTGATGTTGCAGGAGCTGGGGTATGTGCGTGAGGTTCAGTGTGCTTGCGAGGGTGAGGAATAAGACTTTGAAACTGGTACGTCGGATTGCAACTGGTAGTAGAATGAGTAGATGTCGACGTGGTGGAAAGCAATGATGAGAGTAAGCTGCTAGCAAAGTTGCGACCGAGGGGTGGGCTCCAGTTGTAGCGCGATACGTGCGTCCGACGAGAGTGAGGGGAAAACTGATCTATCCGTTGACTACAGCTAGGAGTAGTATATGTACTGTACAGAGAGAATCAGACTCGGAACAATAGACGAAAGCCTGAAGAAAGAGACAGACCGAGAAAGAGAGAAAGAACAGAAAGAGAGAGAAAGATACATGCTATGAAAGAGAACGAATGGCGATCATTGCCACACTACAGGTGTGGCGTGCCATGTGCTCTACGCGTGTAGACAGTCTGACAGCCCTACAACGGAGGTCGAAGACACGGGTCATACTCCTGTAGGTGTTGCAGGGTATCTTGATAATAATCATGTAGCAGCAGCCCGGTGAGCACAAAGGCATCTATGTTCAATTCTAATATGTTTCTGAAAGTGGGGCAGGAAATATACACATACTTGCTGTGAAATGTCCTAGGCATTTGACTGAAGGGTCCCGTACCAGTCTGGAGATGACGGCAGTGTTTCTCCGCCCCCCTGGAATGGATATATAGTCCGGAGCCTTGGGCAGAAAGCTAAGTGAACTTTTTGATGAGTGAGGGCATGTTATGAGCCTGACCTTGCGACCCACTCCATGAGAAATCCCGCAAGTAGCTACCGGAAACTTACCCCGGCAAGGGTCTTGTCTGTTTGATTTTGAAGCTGGCGAGTGATACTGGAGACTGACCTCTGTGATGAGTGCAGAGATCTGCTCGTTTACCTCAGCCCATCCATTTTTGTGCTGGCCCACCAGAACAGTGATCACCAGCGAGTCAGGAGAGGCACTGAGTGCTATAGGAGTGACGGTCCTAACGGTTGTACAGTATTAGCTAAAAATGACAGAGGGCCATCAATCGACAACGTACCTCCCGTCCCAATGAATGACCCTCATCTTGCGTATCTCAGGGTGGTCCATGGTGTACACCGTCTTGTCCCCAGCAGAAACCCGGAGGTTTTTGGCTTGATACCCAGACGTCCCTCCATGGAGTGAATCCATGGACACAGGCGTGACCACGGGAGAGCCTCGCATGAGATGGGAATGGGAGCAATCCACACAGTCAACCTGTGGGCTGCCTGAGCTGCAGCCCTCTGATGCTGCTTGCGATCCTTCTTATGGTGTTTGTTGTGCTCCCTTTCCTTCCTCTTGTGATGTTCGTGAGGATCGAGTGGTGCCGGCTGGGTTGACTCTGGGGTGGAGAGAGGTGCAGAGGGGTGATCCAGGCGATAAGAAGCCAGGGAATCCTGCATCCCATCAAAAGGATTAAGAGATGGCAGCGAGCAACAATCAATGGCTGGCCAAAGATCAGACCTGTATGTCTGACAGGAAAATTTATCAACTCACCATCAAAAGAGTTCAGGGGGTGATTCATCAACCAGCGCAACATTGTCCTCATTGTCACCCGCCTTGCCACTATCCCGAAAACCCTCCTCCCTCCTATGTACATTGTCTTGAGCTTGTGCTATCGCACGGTCAATGTCAAAGGCTACCACCACAGTGTTGTGGACCTCAGCTTGTGTATCGATGTCCACATCCTCACCAGCCCCAGGGGAAAATTGCAGACCAGAGTGAGCATGACGAAAGGTCGGGGTGGTGGACATGGCTTAGCATTCTACAGTGCTCGCAGTAAATCAGCCATCGATGCATCAAACCATGCAGCCCTGGCTGGGCCCATGCCAAATGGACATGAACTTGCATGGGCTCTGAGGTATAGGACACTGTGTGTGGCACCACCCAGACCCAAACCCAGCCCCTCCCATACATAGGTCACCCTGTGGAGCAATGACATGTGGGAACCGAGGGGTACAGCCATCAAGATGCCAAAGCCCGTGCACATCATAGGTCGCTTGGTAGAGCAACACACAGGATGGTCGCTATCTGGGCATCTCCAGAGTGCAGAGTTGGCTGTTCTGGCCCTGAGGAGAGTCAGGCCTCACCCACACGTAATGACACCAGGTGTCCATGGATGCTGCCATGTCAATGAGACTCACCTGAGGACACACGACCAAAGTCCTTCAGGACTCAGGAGTGAAGAACTGGGTCTCTTTGTTATGGAGTGTATGTCATTTCATAGCGGACAGCAGAAGACAGAGCATATACACTACAGGATGCGGTGGCTGTAGCGGCACCACCTTCTAATATGGTGTCATTGGCCTTTGAAATTGACCTCTACTTGTGGTGAATCAAGTTCTTCCGGCCTCCTTGGATACTGATACCTGCTTGATACAGGTTCGTCCCAAGGAGGCTGATTTCGAGCCTAACATTGTCAGTAGCTATATGCATTTTGGTAAAATACATCAACTTCTATCTACTACAGGAGATCAAAGGCACCCCCGGGGAGGTGCAGCCGCCAGGGAACGAGGAGGAAAGGCAACGCATTAACATGTCGCGTGAGGCGTGGGAATTCCCGGGAACCTCCGAGCACCACCTGCCTAATAAGGCATGAACCACGTAAAGCCAGCGGAATAAGTGTCTGAACCCTCGTACACTGCGGTTCTGGTAGTCTCGTCCCCAGACGTTATAGAGGGGACTCAGCATGATCTGGTCGGAGTGCCAAAATCTTGTGCACTGTCCTCTCTATAATGTCTGGCGCATTTTGATTGTGAACTAGCACTTCCTGTCACAGCGTGACTCATCATGAGTAGTCCAAAATAGCAGACCTGCCAAATTGAGCACATTTTGGCTTCACCTGTCCTTTGAATCTGACATGCTTCCACTGAGTATCAGTTATGTATTGTACAGTAACATTACATTTGTATGGTACAGAAAAGAACAGATACTCACAAACTCAGGATGTATGCTACTCAGAAATGGAGGACCGTGGCAATCACAATCCTCCGCCACACAGGGAGGCTGCACCGGTCAGGTCAATGAGTCGGTGTTGAAAAAATATTTTTACAGCAATGGATAGCCACTAGGCTCTATGGATCACTGCCACATATCCCCCCTCCATACATTGCCTGGGTCAGGTAAAATAGGAGCTAGAACAAAGAAGAATAAGGATAAATGGACCACAGAGCCAGAAAGAGCATAAAATTTGGGTTCCAGCAGTGTACCACACCACATCTTGCCACATTTGGAAGTGTGTTATGTAATATAGTGATGCCATTAGTGCACAGGAACTATTGGCAGTAGCCGTGAATGTCTCTGTATTTTTCCGCATTTCTTTTGATTTTCTATGGGCTGCCAAGCTGCATTCTGCCATGGTCTATATGTACTCATCAGCTATGTATGGCACTAATATGTGGAGTCCGGGTCCCACGAATATATTCTGATTTTATCCGAATTATTGCGCATTTTTTGGAGCCACCCAGGTGC